TCATAGCTGGGTACCATGAAGCAGCTTTAGCACAGGTAGAGGTAGACTGAAAGATTCTATAGGTTCATGGCTGGGGACCATAAAGCAGTAGGAGAACAAGTAGAGGCTTTACTTACTGGTACATAGATAGTCCACTGGTGCAGCCTTTCGCAAAGCAGCAATTCAAAATCAGTCCATGGGACTCCAGGGGCATACAGCCCCACTACTTTAACAGATCCATCTATACTAAGGAAAAAAGACAATCTATTCAGGGCTCCAGACTTTTTAACAGCAACTTAGTCTCCATCTGGGCACACCTCCCCATTGGCATGCCCCTGCTGAATATTCAGGCTGGACATTGTAATTCTTCCACCCTAAGCTCTAGAAACTTCTCTTAGAGGCAGAGACAAGCAAAAATCTCAGTCTGTGAAGCTCTGAGCAGTAGACATGTGCGTTTTGTCCATTATGGTTAATTTTTCAGACAAAACTTCATTTTCGGAGATTCGGATGTATATAAATCTCTAAATGGTCATAGTAATGAATGTCAACGAATATAAAAAAAAATATTATGATGTTAACAAATGAATTTGTTTAATTCGGATGATGGAGTAAGAGTTCAGGCCCATGGGGAAAATTAATCAAATTTTTCAAATTTGTTTAATAAATTTAGATGATGGATTGATCCAAAATTTGTTCCATTCATAATTCGGATGCATATGAGGTCAGTCAATATTGTCCAATCAGCTCATGCCATTTCTTTTGGTGGGTTGGAATAGCATCTGAAAATGTTGATTCCTTCCAATTCAAACCTGTCTGATTGAATATATAGCAATCTCCCGGAAAACCAGCAACATTTTTCAAATGTACCTGGGCCAACAAATATATGAAACGAATACCGAAGATACAAAACGAATTTCCAAAACGAATCAGTTCAACATAACAAATATGACAAAACAAAATTCTTCAATGAATAAATGCAGTCAAAACAAAACTAACATTTCTGGCGTGCGCATGTCTACTAAGCAGACCAAACCAAACAATAACTGCTCCTGTGATTACAACAGACGCCTAAAGTTGCTTAGCAGCCTAACTAATAGAGTGCTACACTCAGATGATTAATATTAGCCCCCCTGTTTGTCTTATAAACAAAAGTAATTTATCAGAGGAGAGAATGTACAGGTTTTCATCACATTTAGCTGTTACAATACCATTCAATGGTTCAGTCTAAATTTCAATGACATTGGCCTTTGTGGATATGTGTAAGTTATGTCAACAGGAACAGTATCATCTTCAGAGGTCTATTATAGTGACAATCAATGTCTATCAACTTAGAAAATATGAGACCCACGGTTCCCAGGTTTTCTTAAATTAGGCACTGAGCCAGTAAGTTTAGCTGTCTACTTTTCATTGGAGAATGTGTTATTTTATAGTATTAAATTGGAATATTGAAAGAGTGGCGGACAACCAAGATTGCTTCAAGCAATGCTTATTACCTATCAGGACAAGTGTCCTCAATCTAAATTGATATTTTGTGAGGCCTTCTGATTTTAGTTTAACCTCTTGGCGCTGGCCTCATGCAAATGTGTGGCCTCCCAGTGTCTGGGTCTTGATGCTGAGTGGCCGCACATTTGCGTGCAATTAAGAAAAACATATGTGCTGAGAGCATGCGCCCTGCGTGCTCCCAGCGCACATGTCCAGTACTCATGAAAAGGTCCTGATCTCTTCTTTCGATTGGGACCTTTCCCGATCATGTGACCACATGATGGAGAATCACAGCGGTCACATGACCCTAAAACCCCACCCCGCCTCCCGGCTTCTGAAACCCTTAAAGGCGCCAAGGGGTTAAATTAAGCCTAGTACAGACTATAAGAAAATCGGCTAGCTGATCGTCAGAATTTCCACCAAAGTGCATATCATGACGTAGTCAGAATGTTATTGACTTGTACACGCTTTCTAGCTGAACAAAGGCAAACGAAATTACATACTAGCGTAGTAGAAGAGGAAGTGTAGGATTGTTACATGATTCTGATCTTGTTCATTTTTTTTCTATTTGATTATTTCTGTACGATAAATGTACATATTAAATAAAAATTGGATGTTGTGCTCACGTACTACAACAATTTTCTAGCTTGCATCCTCAGTTTTTTGTCATCTGAAAAGTCAGAAATTGGCTGTCAAAAGTACTATACTAACAATCAGATAATCGACCTATAGTTCCTCATACAGAAATTTTCATACGATTTTTGTACGATTTTCTTATTGTGTGTATGGGCCATAAGGCTTCCCCTGTTTAAATGGAAATTGGATGGCCCAATAATAATGCTAACATATTATATACTTGCTTTGAAGTAATTAGACTTCCAGGCACATCCATCAATGGTGCCAATATGCTCTCTGTTCAGGGGATTCTTGGAAACAGTGCCCTTTACAGCCTGGAGTTAAATTACTGCCCCTGTTTAATTCTATATATATATATATATTTTTTTTTTTTTTTTTTTAACTAATTTGTAAATGTATCAAATTCTACCTAAATGCACTAATTAAACATCAGTTCCACAAAATGAAGAATTTATTTTCTTCTTTTTTTTTTTTTATTGTATGATGAGCCATCTGCAGTTTCAAAAAGAAAGCAGCAGCAACTTTACACACAACCCGTTAATGTTTACCTTGACTGAGAATGATAGCACTAGTCTGTTGCAAGCAGAAGAAAGCATTACCTCAGTCTCTTTTCCCCTTATAATCACTTAGTCAGACTGTTATTTGTATTTTTCAAGCATAATAAGATAGTAGGGTCTGATCTCAGTGAGACTTGAACACACAACCAAGATCATAAAGGCAATTGCACAAGCACTGGGATTTACACATTTGTGTTAATTATGGGCAAGCACCTTAGTGAATGTAGATGCTGGCCATATGTGATGACTGAACGAGTATGGCGGTGGCCTTCTGGGAAGAAAGACAGTGGAAGGAATTGTCAGGGGTAGTTTTGTGGTCTCTTTTAGAAGATTGGAAATGCCTGTTACTGTTATAATATACTTGACAAACAGTACATGCTATTGTAGAACAAATCTACTTTTAATGAACATGTCCTTTTAATTTATCCCCCTGATACCATGGGTTTGAGAGTAATCTTTCAGGTTCAAAACTGCTTTGTCATCTATGGTGTCTTAATCCTTGTTAGTAATACCCCTGCCTGTACCCTTTTTTTTGGTATTACATTTTAACCAACACTCCCGCATGAAAAATATCCTGCTTCTGGACAATTTTACACTGCTTTATCATCTGTGGCATCCCAATTCTATGATCCACAGGCTGATGATTAAATAGTCTGCCTGCCTCCTCTATGCATAGATTGTTTTTCAGTCGTTAAATCTGTAGTATGGCTTCTATGAATGGAGAATCTGGAATAAAAGAGCGAGTATAGTGGGACATCCTTCAGGAGAGCCTGTGACAGTCCCTTAGCACCCGTAACCCCCACTGCACCAGGAGATTATAGAGGTGGGGTGGTCATGGGGCATTGATGGAGACAGTTCCACCTAAAAGAGATGCATCAGCACAAGGGTCAAATCCTATTGACTGTAAGTTACGTCCCTTGTTCTGATTTTGTGTTGTTGTTTTTTTAATTTGGCTTCATTTGCCTTTTACAGCTGCCTAAAGTTTAGCTTTAACACTTTTTGTTGTGCCCCTTATTTATGTTTTTGTTCTAGTTTTCTTTTAGGTGTTATATTTTCTCATGGTGACAACTGGAAAGTGATGAGACGGTTTACTCTTTCAACACTAAGAGACTTTGGCATGGGGAAGAAAACCATTGAAAACAAGATTAATGAAGAATGTGAATGTTTGGTAAACAAGTTTAAATCCTTTAGAGGTTAGTCACTTTCCAATTCTCAGTTCAATTAACAAGATGGCATTTACTTTGTCATGTGGGGTTTCCTCTATCTCTTGTGAAAATGTTTTGTTTAGTTTTGTATGCAGTTGAAAACAGATAGGAACTCCATAAGATATTAAATGTTGTCTGTGTTCTATTGGGGAAACTTCCTAGCACTTTCTGTCCTTAGGCCCCTTTCACACGGGGCAGACACCATCTGTGATCCGCTTGCTCAGCAGGAGATCTTTTTGCCTTTCCGCACTGAGCAGGCAGATGACAGGTCTGTGTTTGCTCCACTTAGGAAGAATGGATGTGGATACTGCCTACTCTACACTATGGGTGGTTGGATGTACACGGACCGCCTTTCCTTTTACACCCAACTGCCCTCCGATTCGACCAGAAGGAGGGGAATGGATCCCCATTCATTTATATTTGACAGATTGGATTGGATGTAGGTGGGTGTAAATGGAGGTTCTAATCAGGTCCACCTGAAAAACAGGCAGGTAGACCTGATCGGAATGTTCATGTGAAAGTGGGCCTAACTGTTGATGCTCCTGGAGTAAAGGAAGAATAAGTGGATCTCTTACGCCAGAAATGCAGAGTAATTACTGAATGGAGAAAATCCCATGCTACAACAGGCTGTCTCTCAAAATGGTATTATAATTCTTGTCAATATAAACTGATATTTTTGACAGAGACAGCTGAATAAGTCAAAGGAATGATTCTCCAACCTCCCCACCTGCTCTGTTCAGTTGGCAGTTCTGAGATTTAATTAGAGAAAGACTTTAAAGTCAAAGAGCTTCTGCTATAATTGCTCTTTAGAAAAGACATCATTATTTTTTATTTCAATATAATGATTATAAATGTGTTGAATGTTAATTTGCAAAATAAAGCTTTGATACAACAAAACATTCATTTTAAAATCTTAAAAAAAAAAAAAAAAAAAATGAATCCAGATGTATATTTATTTTCAGTTTAAACTTAACCCTAAAAATGATTCTAATTTCAGGCAAACCATTTGAAAACACCATGATAATAAACGCTGCTGTGGCTAATATCATTGTATCCATCATACTGGGCCATCGCTTCAGCTATGATGATCCTGAGATTATTGAGTTTAATAAATGAAAACATAAGACTAGCTGGATCTCCTATGGTCACGGTATGTTGAATCAAATTCCTGATATGTAACATTCAGTTATACCACATTCTTATTATTATCTCATCATCAAGTACTAGCGAAAGTGTGTCTGGGCTCAGAAGGAATCATAATCATGTGTGTAATCTTGTGTTTGTCATCGGTACTTACCCTGCCACAGTCTATTGCTCCTATTCCAAGTTGGCAGAGTATACAGTATACAACAGAGCAGTTTACAATATAGGAGAGATCAACCCCTTCAGTCCATCATGAATACTGCTGCCAGACTCCTCCACCTTAACAACCATTCATTGTCTGCTACCCCTCTTTACCAGTCCATCAATTGGCTGCCACTCACCCAATGAATTAAATTCAAAATACTAACATTAACTTACAAAGCCATCCAAAGCTGTCCCCAGCTATATCACTAACCTAGTCTCAAAATACCAACCAAATTGTTTTCTTCACTCCTCCCAAGACCTTCTGTTCTCTAGCTCCCTTGTCACCTCTTTGCATGCTCACTTCCAGGACTTCTCCTGAGCCTCTCCCATCCTATGGAACTCACTACCCCAATCTGTCCGACTATCTCCCACTCTGTCCATATTTAGGTGATCCCTGAAAACCCTTCTCTTAAGAGAAACCCATCCCGCCTTCACCTAACAACAACTGTACTTTTTATTTTCTCCATCAGCTTATACCTCACAGTTATTGCCTTTTTCATCACTTGACCCTTCCTTTTTACATTCTAAGCTCTAATGAGCAGGGGGCACCGATTCTTTCTGTAATGAATCGAATTCTAACTGTATTGTCTGCCCTCAGGTTGTAAAGCGCTCATGTCGGAGCTTTATAAGTTCTGTATAATAATAAGTAAAGAGTGTTTAGAAAGATCTAGTGTGAAGCAATGTATAGTTAGTACAGTATACAGAATGGTGTAATGTGGACTTTGCCTTAGGCCACCCAGTATACAAAGCAGAGAGGTACATAGTATAGAATTAATGGTATTAAAGAGGAGCTTCAATTTCCCCCAAAAAATTAAAAGTCAGCAGCTAAAAATACTGTAGCTGCTGACTTTTAATATAAGAACATGTGTCCAGGGATCCAGCGATGTCCTCACCCACTCACATGGTAGTAGCAGGTGGATTCATGAATGTCTACAGCATTTACATGATGTCCATATGAGAATATTCCGTGTAAGAAATTGAGAGTGGTAGATATCCATTCTGAGGGATTGAATCTGCTGACTGGTGGCTTTATTGTCATATGTTGGTTTGACTCCATACCAGGGGCGGACTGACAACTCATGGGGTCCCTGGGCAATAGGGGATCATGGGGCCCCTGTGTCTTTTCCCAAAATCAAAAAAGCCTATGAAAAAGGTACCAGGGGCATCTCATGGGGCCTCCTACTGAGCCCGGGCCCTCGGACAGTGCCCGAGTTTCCAAATGGTCAGTCTGCCCCTGCTCCATACTTACCATATGTGGGTCCTCTTGTTCCAGTAAGCATGCATGATATCTTGGTGGTGGATCACAGGAAAATCTTATCCACATGGGGGTGCCATCTTTAACCGAGTAGAGAAAAACAAACAGAGGAAGCACCGGCCTAGTGCATTACCTTAAAAAATGTATTTATTAAATGATAAAAGTAGGTATTGTTCTCCCAAAATGAAAATACAGTCAAAGGCACATCGTGAAAGAACAGCTCTGTCCAATCCGCACTATGTGTCTTTCCATAATGGGAACTCTGGACCTCAGACAGACTGACGCGTTTTGAGGACTTGGCTCTTCCTCAGAGCCAGAGAGTGGACAGAGCTGTTCTTTCGCGATGTGCCTTTGACTGTATTGTCATTTTGTGAGTACAATACCTATTTTTATCATTTAATAAATACATTTTTTATGATAATGCGCTAGGCCGGTGCGCCCTCTGTTTGTTTTTCTCTACTCAGTATATTTGAACTTCCCCAGTCTTTTGAGGGCAGCAAGGCATGCATATCCCAAGATATTTGTGATGTGGTCCTATCTATACAGAGTCCATCCCTAAGCGCAGGGGTATCTGGGTTTGCCATTCCTTCACTGCCATCTTTAACAGTTTGGAATTCTCTAAGTGATTTTTGGGCATTAAATTACAAATATCACAGTGGTGTTGAAATTTTGGAACTTTATTTACCACTTTTGTTGTGACTGTGTAATTTTGTGCACTTTTAGGTTTTGTACTGCATCACATGTGGTGGTGCCCTCACCCAACCTGATTCTTCAATGGGTTTGGGTCCAGGCAACAGCATGTTAACTAGGGGAAACCAGCTTTGTGGCTTCACAGCCGCCTTTTCACTGTGCTTTTTTTTTATTTATTTTTTTGTCCTACTGTCCTCTGGGACCTGTGATGTGTCCCAGAAGGCTGCAGGAGAAGGGGGGGAGGAGGGGCAAACTTCCACTCAGATTGTTTCAGTGATCCAGGCGGAAGTGAAAACCAGATACACAGTTTGCCACCCACAAAAAAATAAGTGCCAAATGTTATTTATATTTTAAAAATATATAGAATATACAGGCAGCAATCAAAAGAGCAGTCAGGTTCAGGCAGAGGTTGTGGTAGGTGGAAGGTGAGAAAGTAGTAAGTTGGGGCAGTGGTCATGGCAGATGGCAGACAAAAAGTAGTTATGTCTAGACAGGGACTGAGGTAGGCAGCAAGCAAGAATGTAGCCAGGTCAATCCAGGCTTACAACAAAGCGGCATTTAACAGGTAAGTATTATAGCTCTTTAGCACTCAGGCAGCTGGAGATAAGACACAGCATCAGCCAATTCTGGTCAGGGGACATGACCAGTATTGTTAATCTCAGCTGTGAAAGTCCTGGAAGTAGCGGAGGTCCTAAGAATCCTGAAAATCCTAGCAGGGGTCCTGTGAGGAATCCTGGAAGACCTGGCAGGGGTCCTGTGGGGAATCCCAAAAGACCTGGCAGGTATCTTGTGTAATTGTGTATTGTAACATTATAAAATACCTTGTGTAAACAGGCCACAGTTTAATGGCTCGGCTTGGACAACATTTTCTCCAATGGGCAAATCTCAGCCACATGGAGAATTTGTAAACCATAATACTCAATGACCATCATACAATAATAAACAAAAACATTCACATGACTTTATATTGCCAAAAATACATCACTCAATATAGCACCACAGCAACAATTTTAATAACAAGCACATTTTTCTAGAATTTATTCCATGGCAAGAGCAATTGAGAAAAGGAAAATTGAAATAAATCCATCAATAAGACAAACAGACTAAATGTTTCTCTTACATAGACCACCAAAAATAATCATTATTAAATTAAAGGGTAACAATTTACTGTATAACAGTAAAAACATATACCCAGGACACCTGCGAGAAGAGGAAAAGTAAACAAACAGAATACAAATAAAACATAACAAAGGTATCAGATAATGTTTCCCATTAAGACCACGCAGCAGCAAGTTCTCCAATTGCTTTATCCACATTGATTGTCTCTTCACAATGATTTCTCACGGTTGTCACCACATCTTGAATGGGAAATATGATCCAAAACCTAAAAAGAAAATGATGAAACTGAAAGCTCCTCTTGCATTAAATTAGAAGCAATGGCCTAATCAATCAAATGATTAAATATAGAAGACTTTTGGGAGGAAATTCGATCTTAAAGCAGTATTAAAGTGTTAATAAACCCACACCAGTAAAAACAGTCTGTATATGCAGTAAAGCATGCTTGAACTACTTGCTGTGGAACGTAAAGGGTTAATCCTCCACATTATTTAAAAAAGCTGTTTGATCCTGTCTTCTCTGATCCTTCCCTTCTTCCACAGTCCCTAATCCATCTGTTGATAGTACAGAGCTCAGGAGTCACTGTGCACATATTCAATTTATTGTATATTGCTAGAAAGTTTGTTTTTCTTTGGGTTAACCCATGGCCAATCAGTACTGTCCAGACATAGGGCTGGGGGTTATGCAGCCTTATAGGACAATCAGAGCAGAATTAAAAAATCTCCTACAAGTTTTAACCAGTGCTCTGCTGGACACTGATAGAAGTCACAAAACTGCTCTAACTGCTAATGAGAAAAGGTATTTAGCAGTTTATATTTAGTAAAATAATTGCATTTCCATGTTCTGTGTACTGTGGGAGACTAGATATATACTGAATGCAGGGTCCTGGGTTTAGTAACACTTTAAACCTAAAATCAAACAATTATTGTATTGCAGCTTACCAAATCTCAGATGTGGAATCTGTACTATATTTCCGTTTAAGGCTTTTTCTTTATTTTCTCCTGGTGATCTGATTGGTAAGTCTGTTGTTTTTAAAAAGAACAAGCTGTCCTGGAAAGTTACAGGGATGAGACAAACCATTTAGCACTGACAGGGGTGCTTACACACAAAAGTGTTAGCTGGAGTTTGCTTTAGCTTGGAATGCAATTTGTTGGATTATCTAAGGCTGCATTCACACTTGTGTGACTCCAAAATCGCACAATGTTATTGTGTGACTTTCATGTGGCTTTCATGTGTGACTTTGATCCGACTTTCTGGACTGAAGTCATACCAAAAGTCACATCAAAGTAGTGCAGGCACCTTTTCAAAATTGATGCGACTTTAAGTTGCACCGATCCAAACAGGTGCCATTGAAATAAGTGCTGTGACTTGTCATGAATCTTTGGACATGACAAGTCACAGCCCTAAATATGCAAGTACATCTAACACTATACTACCCCCAGCCCCCCACCCCCACCACAACTGACAATGCTGCTGTCCAAAGTTGCCCCCTGTGTTCCTTCTTTCAGATTGGGGGTACTCTAACACAAGAGGTGTGCTACAGGCCAGATCACTAGGTGAAAACATAGGGAAAAAGCCTAAATAAAAGGTAAAATAATGCAGCCACCACATGTACTGATTGGTAAACTGCAATATAATTCAGTTTTGGTTTTATGTTTAATACTTTAGTCCTTTGTAGCATTCATGTGGTCTATTTTATATGTTGGGGAGATGACTCAAACAGTATACTATATATTTAAAGTTGCAGGTATAATAAAATTATTAACAAGAACCCTTCTAAAACCCCTATACAGGGATGACACATGGTATCATCTTTTAGGACATTGCTAAACTGGGCACATCCAAGACAAAGAAATGTGCCCTTCATCTTCTCACAAAAACCACTTAAACCATACCAGGTCATAGGGCCCCCATGATGATGAGGACAAAGGCTTTTTACACATAGCTATGATCTTGTGCTTGTGGGGGTACTGGGGAGGTTATCAGAATCTGGAAGCTCCTTTTTAAGATTAGGTGGCCTCCAGATATTGACCACGACTGCACGTGAATAAGTAGGGAGTACATAGTATCCCTACTTATTCACCAAAAGAAGTCCGCTGTAAACAAATACACACAAGAAGATTTAAAGAAAAAAAAAACAGCATTGTAAATTCTGCGTCAGTCACAATGAATGTTGCCCTCTGGTTGTCAAAAGAAGAAAACCTGTCAATAGACCAACTGGCCCAGCTGCCCCCCACAGTCCCCCACTATAAAGAGCTTTCACAGCTGTCATTAGGTTTATATACAAAAGGGAATGTGATGACATCACTGACCAAATATGGAAATGCCCATATCTAGACAGTGATGTCACCACCACCACCACCACACCTCTTCACTTTACATGGTCTAGAATTCCTGGCCTTGTAAATGAATGGGACCGGTGACATCACTCGTTGCTAAGGACTCAGTGGTACCTGCATCCAATTTTATACATGATCTTCAATTCCCACTGAGCTGGTAAATGTTTGGGTGTTTAAGCATCCAATAGCTGCAGTGTCTTGAAAACCAGTCAGAGTAGGATTATAAACAAAGATGGGATTATTTTAGCCAGGCTTTGGTGAGACAGTAAATGGCCTACAGTTATGGCATCTAGAGTAATCAGTAATTTTAAAAGCTGATCAGTTTTTTCAAATCTATTAGTGCCTCTGCATGGTAAAGGGGTTCCAAAGGTGAACTTATCCTTTAGATCGATGAAGACGCTGGTTGTGCTACATAAGCCTAAAGAAAAATCTTTAAAGTATACAGGACATGTGCAGCATGCCCAGTCCTTCTGCCCTGCCCCCCTTTCAATCCTCATTCTTTGGCCTATTATTAATAATAGCAGTGAGTTGCTGTGTACATTCAAAAAAATAATTGAAAAAAAGTGTGCAATGTTATGTACCAAAATCACATTTTTTGTGTGATTTTAAGTAAATTACATAACAAAAAGTATACTTTGAAGACGAAAAAATGTTAATGTAGATTAAACTAACATTGATCAAAAAAGAACATTTGCTTCTTGTTTTTTATTTTTTTATATTGTTACTATTTTTGCCTGTGCATTGCATGGGGAAAAAAAAAAAGTTAATAGAGCAAATAAAGAGTCAATAGCAGAAATGTAAAAAATGTTCTTGTCCACGGCGTGTGCAGGCATGCAAACTGACTTGGTTAATCATGCACTGTACCATGTGCCTCCAACATTCTTAACAGTGTACCTTGGACGACTGATGCAATTTGAAAGGCAAAGGGCGGACACAACACATACTGATTTGATCTAGTTTTTTTTCTGTTGCAGGTTGATAGTTGATAAATAACAAAAATTTACTCTTCCTATTAACATGTTCCTTGTTACAACATTAGCACTGCAGCACACCTGATTGGCTGCTTGTACTGCTTCATACTCTCCCAGTCTGTGCTTTGTTGTATGAGAGATAACAAGAGGCTGATACCAAGTCAAATGCTGGTACTATGTATTAATAACTATAGATCTGAATTCATTTGTATATCTGATAATTACCTGAACTGCAGCTTTAAAGCAACTGATTTTTCTTTTTTTTTTGTTATACTATTATTCAGAGTATCCCATTATTTGTCCTCTAGCTGTACAATACTTATCAATCTGTAATGCGCTGGCTACCAGGAAGTCACAAAACTGTGAAAGGGAATGCCACTGAGATGCGTCAATTCATTACAGGAACCTTCACCAAGTACAAGGATCAGTTGGATGTTCACGACCAAAGAAATCTTATTGATGCCTTTCTTGTCAAGCAGCAAGAGGTTATCTCTTTATATTATATAGTTATTCTAAATGATATACAGTACAACATACTAGTGTACATGTGGCGCTAACCCTTTTAGGAGTTGCTGAAGTTATTGGGTCCCCCTCAGGGGTGTACTGACAATTTGGAAACTCAGGGTCAGTAGGGGGCCCCATGAGATGCCCCTGGTACCTTTTTCATTAGCTTTTTTTTAAGTTTGAGTAAGGACACAGGGGCCCAATGATCCCCTATTGCCCGGGGGCCCCATGAGTTGTCAGTTCACCCCTGGTCCCCCTATAGTCCTGCACAGCCAGGCAAAACGCATTTTCTCATACTTGCATTGCAGAGACCGTAAACAGTCCTTGAGCTTGGTTTTTCTTTTGGTTTTATTAAGGGAACTGAACTTGGATGGGGTAAGGGGTGTATGGGATGCCCAAAGAAACTGCAACTTCTTGATAAATATGTACAAGTCTCTTTACAGCAAAATACTTCTGTAAAAGCGCTCCAGACTCTCCTGGTGTACCACCCCAGATTAATCTAATTCTCATCCAGCTATCTGAAAGAAATCCCCGGGCAAGGGATCCAAAGCTGCCACTTTAAATGTAACAGTCCTGGGAGTGGAGCTAGTTAGGTTTCCCACCAGAATGCCCTCTCCCCTTGTCTGGCCAGGGGGTGTAAGATTACTCACTCAGTCCAATCTTGTGCGTTGGCTGGGTTGGTGGCTGCCTTCAGGCTTTGTGCTGGGTTGGCTCCTTCCCTGGCTCTACAGGTGGTCCTCTCTCTGGAGACCGGTGGGGCACAGTGATCTTTCTTTCCAGGTTCTAGGCTGTAAGTAGGCCCCTTCTCACTAGGCCCCCTCCCAGGCTCCTGCATCTCAGCCTCTCACTTCATCTTCCACACAAACTCTCTCGTTGCTGAGCAGGCTCTCCCACACTTAATGTCTGCCCTGGCCCCATGCCATGCCTCCTGCTCTGGGATTGGCCAGAGTACTCTAAGTGTGCAGGTCAGCCCCTTCTCACCCCTGCCCACTGCTTTAGAATCGTCTCCAAATTTTTAGAGCGGGGGAGATATCGGGGAACTGACTTCCAGAGACCTCAGCCCTGACCTGAATTTTAACCCTCTAACTCAAACCCAGGCTGCTACTCAGCCTTTCTAATTAAAAAAATACTAGCTAGCTTCCCCCTAGATAACTAAAGGGGTACTATATTTATAAACCTGTTATCATTGATCTGCAAAAAAATGTACCTTTGGTGACTATCCTTGGTTTTTGCCCAGCAGTTCATTGTTAATATTTATCGTTAACGTAATTTATAGGGTTTCATTCCTTCAATTTAGAAATTGTGTTTTTGTACTTCGCTGCTCTTTGTGTCAATATTTCAGTGCATTTGTTATGTCCTTCATCAACAGAATTGTACACCTTCCAGGGGCGGACTGACCATTTGGAAACTCGGGCACTGCCCGAGGGCCCGGGGTCAGTAGGGGGCCCCATGAGATGCCCCTGGTACCTTTTTCATAGGCTTTTTTGAGTTTGAGTTTGGGCAAGGACACAGGGGCCCCATGATTCCCTATTGCCCGGGGGGCCCCCATGAGTTGTCAGTCCGCCCCTGACACTTTCCTTTTTGTGTGTCAATGAGCTTGTCTCTGACTGTTTCTCTGTTGTTGTGCTGCATGGAATAAAATTCATTGTAAAGAAGAAATATGTTGTATGGTAATTATCCAGTGAAAAGGTGTCTCTTTGCCTCTGCTTCCACAAAGTAACACTTTCATTCTTTTATTTTTATTCCAGGAGAAATCCGAATCCCCCACATATTTCCATGATAAAAATTTAACAACCCTCATTACCAACCTGTTCTCTGCTGGTATGGAGACAACCTCATCGACTGTGAGATGGGGGCTTCTGCTAATGATGAAATATCCAGAAATTCAAAGTAAGAATACTGGTGGGAATGTGCTGAATGGTGTCAGTTCAACCAAATGTGATATGTTTAATATAGGTCTGTTGGGTGGAGTTCCCTGTTTAACCCCTTGGCGCCGGCACCTCCCGGCCCTTTAAGGATTTCAAAAGCCGGGGGCGGAATTAGTGTCATGTGACACGCCATCACGGCGCCCACATGATCGGGAAAGGTCCCGATTGAAAGAGGAGATAGGGACCTTTCCATGAGTAATGGACTTGTGTGCTGGGAGCGCGCAGGGTGCGCGTCCTCGGCACATATGTTTTTTTTTTTTTAATAGAACACAAATGTGCGCCCGCTCGGCATCTAGGCCCAGACGTCGGGAGGCCGCACATTTCTGTTCGGCCGGTGTGAAGAGGTTAAAATAGAATATTAAATAATATAAAATAATTGTTGAAAAGCTTATAAACATATACATTTGACCTAAAACCACTACCTAAAGATATGTCACCTAGCAGAGGGATACAATATTATTTTACTGCAAACCACATCTACATTGAAATCTCACCAGGCCATAGCTGGTTACACTTTCTTAACCACTTGCCCTCCAGAGGATTTACCCCCTTTCCTGACCAGCCTATTTTTTGCAATACGGCACTGCATTACTTTAACTGACAATTGCACGGTCATGCAACGCTGCATCCAAATGAAATTTACGTCCTTTTTTACCACAAAAATGGCTTTCTTTTTGTGGTGTTTGGTCACTTGTGTGGTTTTTTTTTTTTTTTTTTTTTTTTTTTTTTTGCGCTATAAAAAAAAAAAGACTGACAATTTTGAGAAAAAAACATTTTTTACTTTTTGCTATTAAACATGTCCAATGAAAAAATTTAAAAAATCGAATTTCATCATAAATTTAGGGCAAAATGTATTCTGCGACATGTTTTTTGCTACAAAAAAAAAAAATCCCAACATGTATAAATTAATCAGTTTACATGAAAGATTTAGCGTTTACAAATGGCAGTGTATATATACTGGAATTTTTTATTTAATGTTTTGCTAGTAATGGTGATGATCAACTGCAATGGGCATTCTGACACTGGGGGGAACTGACTTGGTGTCACTGACATCCCCAGTGACACCAATACAGTGATCAGTGCTAATAAAAAACACTGACACTGTACTAATGGCACTGGGCAGGAAGGGGTCAACATCTGGGGCAATCAAAGGCTTAACTGTGTGCTGTTTCACTGTATGCTGTGTGTGTGCTGTACACTGCAAGCACACTGATTTGTATGGTTCTGCTATGCTAAGCAGTGAGCAGGAGCTGACAGGGGAGAGATCTGTGTTTATACACAGGTCTCTCCCCCGTCGGAGATACTCGGCGATCACCGGGTGCCAGCAAGGAATTACTGGCTGAAACCCAGTGATTGACAGGCGGGGCTGCGAATGGCAGTGCGGGCAAGGGCACGCACCCCCTTCCCGGAACTGCAAAATCACGTGTGTATATATACGTAATTTTGTGCACCCATGCCCAGGGGCGGACTAACAATTCATGGGGCCCCCCCGGGCAATAGGGGATCATGGGGCCCTTGTGTCCTTGCCCAAACTCAAAAATCCTATGAAAAAGGTACCAGGGGCATCTCATGGGGCCCCCTACTGACCCCGGGCCCCTCGGGCAGTGCCCGAGTTTCCAAATGGTCAGTCCTCCCCCTGCCCGTTCCACCCTGTAGTATTTCTGCTCTAGAGCGACGCAGAAGCGGTTAAAGAATCACCCTCTCCTAGGGAAGGCTAAGTCCTGAGCCTTAAGCTGGTCACACATTATTCCATTTCCTTTAGATTTACCTTCAGCTATGTAGTGCAAAGACCCGCCTGAACACATACAAATTGAGTGTTTAGGTTTGACCTCATATTATATGGTTTTGGTAAATCTAAAGAAAAATTGTGCATTAACTAAGGCTGGCCATACATTATACAAACTATAGGACCTGTTCACAGCTACACATTTAGTCAGGACTGACTACCATCCAGGGGCGGACTGACCGTTTGGAAACGCAGGCACTGCCCGAGGGCCCGGGGTCAGTAGGGGGCCCCATGAGATGCCCCTGGTACCTTTTTCATAAGCTTTTTTGAGTTTTGGGCAAGGACACAGGGGTCCCATGATCCCCTATTGCCCGGGGGCCACATGAGTTATCAGTCCGCCTCTGGTACCATCTAAAATGTGGAAGTAGGAATGATATCTTCATCCTGCCCAAAATTCTACAAAGCATCTGGGCTCCAGGACCCAAACCAGATCCTACCAAGATAAAAAATAAAAAGCTTTCATTACCCATTCCACAAAGATACTGGAGCCCTTATCCTGTGACAGTGAGGCACTTTAGGCTTTTTTTTGGATTTAAAAAAAATGCAGAATTCCCCCTTTTTTGTTTCTTTGCTCTCCCTACACACATCCTGTGGACTTTGTAGGAACTTCCTGTGGTTGTGTGTGTTCCTGTAGTGACTGAAAATAACAGTTTAACTGGGTGATTGCAACAAAATATGCATGCTCACTGTGTTTTGGCATAGCTGTTTTGCAGTCCATATCAGGAATGTGCAGGGAATTGTGGATTTGCCATTTGGGGAAAAAATTCAATTTTTTTGTGCCCTTGGCTAGAAAGGAGGCTATATGCAAATGTGACTGTACATTTTATATACTGTTACCAGAAGTCTTTTTTTTTGGCTTTTGGCTACCATTTTACCTTTTAACTGCACATTTTTGTTTTATTACCATTGCTGACTGCAGAGAATGTCCATGGTGAAATAGATAAGGTGATTGGATTTGCTGTTCCCCAGACAGAGCACCGGAAAGTGATGCCATATACAGATGCCGTTATACATGAGATTCAGCGTTTTTCCAACATAGTACCGGCTAACATTCCACATGCAACTACACAAGATGTTACTTTTAAAGGCTACTTTTTACCAAAAGTAAGCAACATGTTTCTGTTTTTATGTTGTCCTGTCTGACAAGGTCTGATACCTGTTGAGTTAAATTTCACATTTAAAGCCCATTTGCAGACTCCCCCTATCTTCCCCACCCCCACCCCTCTGATTGTTAAAAAAAAAAATCCAAAGGCCCTTTTTTACTTACCTAAAGGTGCAGTCAGTCAGTCAGTCAGTCCAAGTCTTCTATTATCTTTTCTTTACATAAGGGGAGTCCTTCGTTGGATGTCCATGTTGTTGTCTCCTGTCCAGGAGCCTGGCACTCTTAAAATACAGAAAGAAGGGACATCAGTGCAAGGGAACTGTAGGGGAACAGCTGTTTTCTGGAGCATCTGTAGTGCTAAATTAGCAGTGGACTTGAGTGAGGTCAACTTGCTTCACAAAAAAAGTGACCTTTCCCCTTTGCGAAGAGGTTCTTTTGGTGAGAGATTCCCTGATGTGTGGGTTTGTGCCAGAAGAAAATCCCTAGAGATGGAGCCTGGGTCTAGAGGATGTGACACTTCCAGACCTCATCTGGAATATGCAGTTCAGTTTTGGGCACCAATTCACAAAAAGAACATTGGGGAACTGGAGAAAGTACAGAGAAGAGCAACCAAACTGATAAGAGGCATGGAGGAGCTCAGCTATAAGGAAAGATTACAGGAACTGAATTTATTCTCTCTTGAGAAGAGGAGATTAAGGGGGGATATAATCTCCATGTATAATACATAAGGGGGGATATGATCTCCATGTATAAATACATCAGTGGTTCATATAGTGAACTCTCGGTGTAGAGTTATTCACCCTGAGGTCATCACTAGAGATGAGCGAATTTCTCAAAAATTAGATTCGGCTGATTCGGCGAATTCCAGTGTGAAATTCGATTCGATGCGAATTTCTTCGCTACGAAGTTAACTTATTAAAAGGGTTTCTAGGCTTCAGAGAGCCTTTAAATTAGTGCAGAACACTGTACCTTTAATTTAAATGCCCTTGGAGATGAGGAAGGAGAAGGAGAAGGATGAGAAGAAGGAGAAGGAGAAGGATGAGAAGAAGGAGAAGGAGAAGAAGAGAGGAGAAGGAGAAGGATGAGAAGAAGGAGAAGGATGAGAAGAAGGAGAAGGAGAAGGAGAAGGATGAGAAGAAGGAGAAGGATGAGAAGAAGGAGAAGGAGAAGGATGAGAAGAAGGAGAAGGAGAAGGATGAGAAGGAAGAAGGAGAAGGATGAGAAGAAGGAGAAGGAGAAGGATGAGAAGAAGGAGAAGGATGAGAAGAAGAGAGAAGGAGAAGAGAAGGATGAGAAGAAGGAGAGAGGAGAAGGATGAGAAGATGGAGAAGGAGAAGGATGAGAAGAAGGAGAAGGAGAAGGATGAGAAGAAGGAGAAGGATGAGAAGAAGGAGAAGGATGAGAAGAAGGAGAAGGATGAGATGAGAAGAAGGAGAAGGATGAAAAGAAGGAGAAGGATGAGAAGAAGGAGAAGGATGAGAAGAAGGAGAAGGATGAGAAGAAGGATGAGAAGAAGGAGAAGGATGAGAAGAAGGAAGGAGAAGGATGAGAAGAAGGAGAAGGATGAGAAGAAGGAGAAGGATGAGAAGAAGGAGAAGGATGAGAAGAAGGAGAAGCAGAAGGAGAAGGATGAGAAGATGGAGAAGGAGAAGGATGAGAAGATGGAGAAGGAGAAGGATGAGAAGAAGGAGAAGGATGAGAAGAAGGAGAAGGAGAAGGATGAGAAGAAGGAGAAGGAGAAGGAGAAGGAGAAGGATGAGAAGAAGGAGAAGGAGAAAGGATGAGAAGAAGAAGAAGGATGAGAAGTAGGAGAAGGATGAGAAGAAGGAGAAGGAGAAGGATGAGAAGAAGGAGAAGGATGAGAAGAAGGATGAGAAGAAGGAGAAGGATGAGAAGAAGGAGAAGGATGAGAAGAAGGAGAAGGATGAGAAGAAGGAAGAGAAGAAGGAGAAGGATGAGAAGAAGGAGAAGGATGAGATGAGAAGAAGGACAGTTCTGTGACAGTTTCTGTCTATTTCTGACAGTTCTGGGACATTCGCTGTATGGAGGGAATGTCATAGAACTGTCAGAAATAGACTATTAATGACAGTTCTGGGACTGTCCTTCCATACAGCGGTTGAAACATTGTATCTATTTGTTTCCATAAATGGATCCATTTATGGAAACAAATACATACAATGTTTCAACCGCTGTATGGAAGGACAGTCCCAGAACTGTCATTATTTCTGACAGTAGTCTACAGCTGTTTCAACCGCTGTATGGAGGGAATGTCATGGAACTGTCAGAAATAGACTATTAATGACAGTTCTGGGACTGTCCTTCCATGCAGCGGTTGAAACATTGTATGTATTTGTTTCCATAAATGGATCCATTTATGGAAACAAATAGATACAATGTTTCAACCGCTGCATGGAAGGACAGTCCCAGAACTGTCATTAATAGTCTATTTCTGACAGTTCCATGACATTCCCTCCATACAGCGGTTGAAACAGCTGTATGGAGTGAATGTCCCAGAACTGTCAGAAATAGTCTATTTATGACAGTTCTGGGACATTCCCTCCATACAGCGGTTTCCGGCAAAAAGTGTATGTGCAGAGTTCCTCTATTCTGCAGATACACTTAGAGGAGCTCTGCAGATACACTTAGAGGAGCTCTGCACATACACTTTTTGCCGGCTTGGAATTATTCTTATTTTCATCCTACTTCTTCTTCTTCTTCTTCTTCTTCATCCTCATCCTCTTCTTCTTCTTCTGAGGATGAGGATGAAGAAGAAGAAAGAAGAAGAATAAGAAGTAGGATGAAAAGAAGAATAATTCCAAGCCGGCAAAAAGTGTACAGTTGTGCAGAGTTCCTCTATTTCTGACAGTTCTCTCACAGCTTCTTCACATGTACAGCGGTTGAAACATCTGTATCCTAAATGGAAACTAATAGATACAAATTGTATCTATTAGTTTCCATTTAGGATACAGATGTTTCAACCGCTGTACATGTGAAGAAGCTGTGAGAGAACTGTCAGAAATAGAGGAACTCTGCACATACACTTTTTGCCGGCTTGGAATTATTCTTCTTTTCATCCTACTTCTTCTTCTTCTCTTCTTCATCCTCATCCTCATCCTCTTCTTCTGAGGATGAGGATGAAGAAGAAGAAGAAGTAGGATGAAAAGAAGAATAATTCCAAGCCGGCAAAAAGTGTATGTGCAGAGTTCCTCTATTTCTGACAGTTCTCTCACAGCTTCTTCACATGTACAGTGGTTGAAACATCTGTATCCTAAATGTAAACTAATAGATACAATGTTTCAACCGCTAAACATGTGTTCCTTCTGTCAGAGAACTGTCAGAAATAGCGGAGCTCACTGCAGGGACACTTTTGCCGGCTGATCTGGAAATGTTCGATTCGCGCACACCGAAGTAGGCAAAATTTCGGTTTCGCCGCGAATCGAATATTTCCTGAAATTCGACTCGAATTCCGGTTCGCCTGGTTCGATTCGCTCATCTCTAGTCATCACAGAGGACAAGGAGACACGCTTTATGTCTGGAGGAAATTAGATTTAATCTTCAAATACGGAAAGGTTTCTTCACAGTAAGAGCTGTGAGAATGTGGAATAGACTCCCTCAAGAGTTGGTTCTGGCCAGTTCAGTGGATTGCTTTAAAAAAAGCCTAGATTTTTTCTTAGATACACAGAATGTAACTGGATACTAACATTTATAGGTAAAGTCAGGGGCGGACTGACAACTCATGGGGCCCCTGGGCAACAGGGGATCATGGGGCCCCTGTGCCCTTGCCCAAACTCAAAAAAGCCTATGAAAAAGGTACCAGGGGCATCTCATGGGGCCCCCTATTGAGCCCGGGCCCTCGGGCAGTGCCCGAGTTTCCAAATGGTCAGTCCGCCCCTGGGTAAAGTTGATCCAGGGAATAACTGATTGCCTCTCGAGGGATCAGGAAGGAATTTTTCCCCCTGCAGGAGTAAACTGGTTTATGCTTTGCTGGATTTTTTGCCTTCCTCTGGATCAACTGTGGGTATAGGATTATAACTTTTTTTTTTTTTTTTTTTTTATGGTTGAACTGGATGGACTTTTGTCTTTTTTTTTTCAGCCAGACTAACTATGTAATTTCCTGAAATTCGACTCGAATTCCGGTTCGCCTGGTTCGATTCGCTCATCTCTAGTCATCACAGAGGACAAGGAGACACGCTTTATGTCTGGAGGAAATTAGATTTAATCTTCAAATACGGAAAGGTTTCTTCACAGTAAGAGCTGTGAGAATGTGGAATAGACTCCCTCAAGAGTTGGTTCTGGCCAGTTCAGTGGATTGCTTTAAAAAAAGCCTAGATTTTTTCTTAGATACACAGAATGTAACTGGATACTAACATTTATAGGTAAAGTCAGGGGCGGACTGACAACTCATGGGGCCCCTGGGCAACAGGGGATCATGGGGCCCCTGTGCCCTTGCCCAAACTCAAAAAAGCCTATGAAAAAGGTACCAGGGGCATCTCATGGGGCCCCCTATTGAGCCCGGGCCCTCGGGCAGTGCCCGAGTTTCCAAATGGTCAGTCCGCCCCTGGGTAAAGTTGATCCAGGGAATAACTGATTGCCTCTCGAGGGATCAGGAAGGAATTTTTCCCCCTGCAGGAGTAAACTGGTTTATGCTTTGCTGGATTTTTTGCCTTCCTCTGGATCAACTGTGGGTATAGGATTATAACTTTTTTTTTTTTTTTTTTTATGGTTGAACTGGATGGACTTTTGTCTTTTTTTTTCAGCCAGACTAACTATGTAATTATGTAACACTTGCAGGTTTTGTGTCTAAGCCTGGGTCCACATACTGTATATGCCAGGCTGGTTTACAGTACGATTTGTAAAAGTGTTTGTTGCAATTTCATTCACTGGACTGGTTCAGGAGCTAATTCTTAAAGTTTATGAAACTTGAAATCACATGTAAACCAGGCCAAAAATTGTACTGGAGTCTTTTTTTTTTAAATCACACTGTGGCCAGCCCGCACATATGTGAACTGGTTCCATAGAGAAGGCTTTTGTTTCAAATGTCATGCGAACTGGGTCTAAAAAGAATAGGCTGTGTGCCTGGAAAAAAAGGTTATGTGCCTGGAAATGGTCCTTTGCTATGAGTCAGGGAGCTGGAATGGAATAACAGAACCTCCAGTTTTCTGGCTGCACTGCTATAGTAGTGACTGTGTGTTCCTGGATGCTAAGGACGACCCAGCGACCACTAGCCAGAGAAGATTTAGAAGCCTAGATCATGTTGGAAGTTCTACCTTCTCCTGCCCACTACCTTCAAGTTTTAATTAAAGAGTTTGGAACTAGACATGTGCCATTTGTTTATTTCCGAATTGAATTTCGGACAAATTTTTTAGTTATTCGGAGATTCAAATGTACTGTATAAGAATTCTGAATTACAAAAATAACTAATTGAAATGAATCCAAAATAACTAAATGAATTTCGGCCAAAATTTGATTAGAAAACAAAATCAAACAAACATTTGAAAACCAATTTAAAGTGGAGCTCCACCCATAAGGGGATGTTCCACTTTAAGGACTGGTCCCCCGCTCCCTGTTAAGGATTGGCACCTTTGGGAAGTGCGGTGGGAGCAGGAAATTGGCAGGTATCTGCTCCCACTTCCTCTGCGACCACCTAGGCAATTGGAAGCAGAAGTTGTCCTCCGTCCCCATAGTCTTCCAGGACACATGACAGGTCCCAGATGACTACAGGACCATTCACAAAGTCCAGCGCTACTCACACATACACAGTGAGCAGTGAACACAGGCTGGCCGCTGAAACAGGGGGTGGGGGGAACGCAGGATCGAGGAACAGGTAATTGTCTGTTTTCTAAATCAGCAGCTACAGTTTTTCTATCTGCTGAATTGTATTTATTTTTAAAATTTTCAAATCTACACGTGTGTTGTGTAGATTTTTGAATTCGGTTGAAATCTTTTTGATTTCGAACTACTTTTTCGAATTTTGTTGAACCAATTTGGAATTTCGAATTTGGTCAAAAAGGTTTTTGAATTGAATTCAAATATGAATTACCAAACAAATTCTGAAAATGAATTGAACGAATTTACTGAATCCAACTATACGAAATTTGTTAGATTTCGAAACGGAACTAATTTTTTTGTTTTGCACATGTCTATTTGGAACTGTATTCAAGGACCAGGCTTGCATTTATTTGCATGCTACAATTAAAGTGGAACTTCACTCTCTCAATCAACATTGACATTGGGCAGCACAGTAGCTAAGTGGTTAGCACTTCTGCCTAGGAGTACTAGGGTTGGTGCTTTGAATCTCAACCATGGCACTACCCACCTGGAGTTTGCATGTTCTTGTTGTGCCTGCGTGGGTTTCCTGCCACACTCCAAAGACATGCTGGTAGATAAATTGGCCCTAGAGTGTGTATGTATGAATGTAAGTTAGGGGACCTTAGATTGTACACCCCTTGAGGGTTAGGGACTGATGTGAATGTACAATATATATGTAAAGCACTGTGTAAATTGATGGCGCTATATAAGTACCTGTAATAAACACATCTTGAATCCCTATGCTGCCAGCATTAGTAAATTGATAGGAAGGTATATTATATTTACTTATTTTAAACATTCCTTCTGTTACTTCCCAGTTTCCATGCCTATGCAAAAGATATCATATATCCCAGGAGTCTTCAGGAGGGGAGGAGGGGTTTTCTCAGCAAAGCACACCCTCCTGCCTGCATGCTTAAGCTAAAGATAGATAGATTCAAGGAAGTAATTGCTACATGACTGCTACGACTGCTACAAGTCGTTGTACAAGGAAGTAATTGCTACATGAACCATCAGCCCTCACTCAAAATGGCCATGGCCAGAAATTCTAGGGAGTGCTTTTGTAAGTGATTTCTGAACCAAATAAAACATGGAGACATGGATGGGGGAGTTTGCTTTGAATATTAAAAATTAATTAAATAGCATTTTTTTGTTTGTGGTGCTCAGATACAGTGTAGTTCCACTTTAAGAGCAAATTCAGACCTTGACATCCTGGTATGCTATGTTATTGCACATGTAGCACTACCCCCATAGGAGATACTAAAAGATTTGGGTCCCCCTATAGTCCTGCATAGTCAGGCAACACACATCTTCACACAGACCTGCATCCAGAGTCAGAAATCAGTCCTTGATCTTTGGTTTTGTTGTTTTTATTTAGGGGATTTGAACTGGGATAGGGTTAGGGTGTACAGGAGGTCCAAGGGCACTGATAAACTGAGCACCATTTCCTGGAACTATTTACAAGCCTTCTCTGCAACACAGTCGCTGATGGAGAGCTAGCTAGCCTCTGCCAATGTACCACCCCAGACCCTAGATGAACATTTCCACTTCACCCAGCAATCTGGAGGTATCATTCAACAGGGGATCCAGTTCCTGTCACTTTAAGAGATAAACAGACACTGGTAGGTGGCGCATGTGGTTTCCCACCAGAGTGCTCCTTCTCCAATCTGCCCAAGGGGTGCAGGGGTACTCACTCAGATCCTGTCCTGTACCACTGGTGTGTTGGTGGCTGCTGCCAGGCCTATCAGCTGGGCCTCTCCTTCCCTTCCATACAGGTGGTCCTCACTCTGGGGGCCAATAAGCTCTGAGATTTTCCCTTTTCTAGCTCCAGACCTGCAGGTAGGCCTCCTCACAGTCTCTTGCCTTCATCCTCACATTTTCCTCCCTATCTTCCACCTGAACTCTCCTACCACTGAGCAGGCTCCAACACTTTTAAGGGTGTAACAGCCCCCTGCCAAGCCTTCTGCTGGGGATTGGCTAGGATCTCTCAAGAGTGAAAGCCAGCTACTCCTCAGATCTACCCACTGTTTTTAAGCCTTCCTCCAAATCTCTAGAGCAGAGGGAAATTCCAGAGGAGCTGTCCTGCAGAGCCTGTCAGCTCCTGACCACAATTTGACCCTCTGAAATCAAATCAAGGCTGCTACTCAGCCTTCCTCTCTATCAATCAGAACTCTAGCTTGCCCTAGCTAACTAGGAGAGTGCTAAACACATATTGTAAGACAAATTTTGTTTTACAATAAGACAGCCAATTAAATTATTGGGTTAAAAATACACAAATGCTTCCAAAAAAATGGCACGCACCATTTTTAGCAATGTAGGGCACCACAGCACATGGTAGTGCATAACAGTGTGTGTCATGATGCTCTGCAATGCATGTGCAAGTGGGGTTCTCTCACTCCATTTTGTTGGCTGCAGCTCTGACTTCATCATGTACAGCACAGGACCAGCAGTCCTGCATTGTAATGATGCCTATGGTTGACGCACAACCCTTGAGCATCAAAAGGAAAATTATAATTTGAATTTGAATTCAAATTCAAACTTGAATTCGAGCAAATCGAAAAGTATTGAATCGGCATTTGAATTAAAATTTTACTCTATTCAAATTTTGGAAGATGGTTTTATTCTTTCTATTCTATTCCTTTATTTTCTATTCTTTTATTCTGTTGTGTTTTACTTTATTGTTTTCTTTTCTATTCTTTTTTAAAATTTCTATTTTATTCTATTATTATATTTTCTATTCTGTTTTGAGCTAGTCTATTTTATTCTGTTCTTTTCTGTTTTACTCTATTCTTTCCTATTCTATTTTCTATTCTATTTTATTCTTTTCTATTCTGTTTTACTCTATTCTTTTCTATTCTATTTTGTTCTATTCAAAAATTCTTTTCAAAATTCGAATTTCAGAAGATAGCAATATTCTTTCCATTCTATTCTATTGAAATCTATTCTACGTTTTATTTCTATTCTTTTCTTTTATATTCCTTTATTTTCTATTCTACTCTTTTATATTCTATTCTCTTTTTTCTATTCTTTTCGAATTTCAGAAGATGGCTATATTCTAACACTAATACATACAGTCTTTGAAGGAAATCGGCCATGTGTTTTTATATTTCCAATTTGGTTTTGAATACAATGTTGTTTTCAAATTCATTTAGAAATTGGGCTGAAATTTTGTTTCGTAATTTCAGATTCATTTAAATTTGTTACTATTGTAATTTGGATACATCTAAACTTCTGAATGATGAAAAATGTGTCCAAATTTTGATTCAAAATGAAACAAACCGCACATAGTCTATTCTCTATGGTGTCTGTTTATATCCATGCAACATGGTGAAGTGCGATTTCTGAAGGTGCAGGTGCTTCATTTGGTGCAGCATGGTGCGTTTTTGGCCCTATAGACTTCAATAAGAGTGCATGAAAAGCTCATAAAAATTATAAAAATGCATGTACATGTGTTTTAAAGGGTTTTGGCTGGATTTTATGTGAACGACCAGTCTCCTACAGAAAAAAAAGCATGTCAAATAAAAACGGATGCAAAAACACACTGAAAAATGTATGATTATGCAGCAGCACTAGTGTGTATCTAGGCTATTGCAAATCATTCTTATGATAGTCTGTGGTGTGCATAAAGTCGACTGAAACTGATCTGAATTGGTTATTGTACAGGGCACATATGTTATCCCATTACTGACTTCTGTACTGCGAGATGAGAGTCATTTTGAGAAGCCGGATGAGTTCTACCCACAACATTTTCTTGATTCAAAGGGGAATTTCTTGAGAAAAGAAGCATTTCTGCCATTTTCAGCAGGTAATTCAGTGCAAGTATTATATAATATTAGATAAGATATGTCCTTTTATTACCAACAGCAGGGTGCTACATTATCTGTATATTCAACTGATCTCCTCTTAAACTTCTTCATTATCTTATGAAAGGCTCTTTGAAAGATCAAAACGTTCATACTCCCACTCACTTTAGAGCCTTTGAATTCAAATTTATTCTATTCAAATTTTGGAAGATGGTTATATTATTTCTGTTCTATTCCTTTATTTTCTCTTCTATTTTTTGTATTCTGATCTTTTATTCTGTTGTGTGTTTATTCTATTATTTTTTATTCTATTCTTTTATTTTCTATTCTATTTTATTCTATTTTATTCTTTATTTTCTATTCTGTTTTGCTCTATTTTATTCTATTCTGTTTTACTCTATTCTTTTCTATTCTATTATTTTCTATTCTATTGTATACTTTTCTATTCTATTCTGTTTTACTCTATTCTTTTCTATTCTGTTTTGTTTTATTCTATTCATACCCACAGCATTTTCTTGATTCAAATGGGAATTTCTTGAGAAAAGAAGCCTTTCTGCCATTTTCAGCAGATGATCAATCCAAGCAGGGGCAGACTGACCATTTGGAAATTTGGAGGGCCCGGGGTCAGTAGGGGGCCCCATGAGATGCCCCTGGTACCTTTTTCATACGCTTTTTTGAGTTTGGGCAAGGACACAGGCCCCATGATCCCCTATTGCCCGGGGGCCCCATGAGTTGTCAGTCCGCCCTGAATCCAAGTATGATATAATATTAGATAACAAAATATACTTTTTTTATTAACTACAGCAGGGTACTACATTATCTGTAGATTCAACTGATCTCCTCTTAAACTTCTTAATTATCCTACGAAAGGCTTGAAAGATCAAAACTTTCATACTCCCACTCACTGTAACTGAATCCCATTCCTACTGTTCAAGACCTCTTCACAAATCTCGTCCACTCACCAATATATCATTTCAATGTCCATTTGTAAGGATGCAACTAATGAAGTGCCCCCTAAACCTAGACATATTAATTTGCACTAAATAGTAGATTTTCATATGTGGACAACAAGTATTTTGATGTGCGGATAATATCCACTTGTATTTATAGAACAGCATTATCTGTTTTTTAGCGCCCAAGATCTGAAAAAAAAAATAGATCAGGGCTGCAGCTTTGATTCTTTTTTATTTCACATTTATGCTCTGATTATTGAATCAACACACTTTGCCACCCAGGCCATTTGTGCCATTTCTCTCCTACATGTAAAAAAAATCATCATTTCTTTCTAGAAAATACCTCAGAACCCCCAAGCATTATATATATTTTTAAGCAGAGGCCCTAGAGAATAAAATGATGGGTGTTGCAATTTTTTATCTCATACAGTATTTGCACAGTAATTTTTCAAATGACATTTTTTATTGGGAAAAAAAATACACATTAATGCATTTTAATGAAAAAAAAAACCCAAAATATAATCCGATTTTTTTGGAAAATATAAAAAGTGATGTTATGGTAGTAAATAGATACCTACATGTCATACTTTACAACTGCACACGCTCATGGAATGGTGTCAAACTGTGATACTTAATCTTCATAGGCGACACTTTAAACATTTTTTACAGGTTGCCATTTTAGAGTTACAAAGAAGGTCTAGCACTAGAATTATTGCTCTTGCTGTTTGCAGCGATACCTTACATACGACCTATTTGTGTGTTCATGAGCATGGAGTGGTTTACATTTTTTTTTTTATTATTTTATTTATTTTCTTGCATTCCCTTTTAATTTTTTTTTTCTTGGATCACTTTAATTCCCCAGATCTCTCTTTTACCCTGGAAAGCATGAGATAAAAAAAATTGATCTCATACTTTGCAAAAAAAAAATGGCAATGTTTATATCTGCCTGAACTGGAAGTAACGTCATAACGTCACTTCCAGCCTTAAACGACCATACAGATGGCCAGGGACCATTTGGTCCACGGCCAGCTCTATGGTAACCCGGCAGCACCATCAGCTCAGATATCGGGCTCCCCGATCGCACTGGAGAGCCCAGCCCTCCTGCCACCTGTAAAAGCAGACCAGAAACTAATTATCCTATAGGATGGCTTTTATACTGAAAGAATTGCTGGCTGAAAAAAAGATACTGGGATGATGCTTGTAGCTGCAGGCATCTTCCTGGCATGACCACTGAAACCCAGGACATCATAAGATGTCCTATGGGCAGGAAGTGGTTAAAGAGTAGTTCTGCCACCCCAAAAAAAATTAAAAGTCAGCAGCTACAAATACTGTTGTTGCTGACTTTTAATATTGGGGCACTTACCTGTCCAGGCATCCAGCTGTGTGCTCACCTAAGCCGATTCTTCAATCGGCTATCGGGCGCTTGCACCGCCATCTTGATTAGGGGAAACCGACAGTGAAGTCTTGCGGATTCACAGTTGGTTTCCTACTGTGCATGTGTGAGTTGCACTGCACCTTGAGATTGGTCCCGCAGCCTTCTGGGACCTATGAAGTATCCCAGAAGACTGTGGAGGGAAGAAGGGGGCTGAACTTCCAGCTTAGTTCACCACAGCAAACTGAGCCGGAAGTGGGAGCAGGTACCTGTCAAAACCAGGTACACGTTCCCCTCCTCCGCCCCAAAAGGTGCCAAATGTGGCAGCGCAGGTGGGGAGGAGGCAGACAAGCGGATCTTCCCCTTTTGGGTGGAGCTCAGCTTCAATTTTCTATGGGTCCTTTAAAGAGTTCCCACACATCAAAAAATGTAAAAGACCTTTTTTTTTCCCCTCCAACACATTGTAGCATATATTTACATTGTAAATTTGCATTTGTGTCTTCTAGGTAAGAGAAGTTGTGCTGGGGAAAATTTGGCAAAGATGGAGCTATTTCTTTTCTTTACCACACTGCTGCAAAACTTCACCTTCCAGGCTACTTGTGGAGCAAAACTTGACCTCACTCCTGCAGTGGGATTCACAACTCCTCCAATGAGATATGACATTTGTGCTTTGCCTCGCACCTGATGAGAAAGGCCATTAAACACAACATTTAAAACAAAAAAAAATGTAAAGACATTTTTGTACTGAAGTGTATGTACAAAGACACAAAATGATGATTGAATAAAGGCTAAACTGTGATGATAGATGGACATTTTAGTGAGTACTGTAAACAACAAACAAAAAAACAAACAATAAAGTATAAGTAATAACAATATAAAAATGGAAGTTACAATTTATGGTTTAGAGTCTTTAAGTGGATGGTGATATTTATAAAACTCCCAGTAAAAGTTCATGGTCCGGCACCCTTACAGTTTGCAATAATACATCCGTATGTTCTGCTTGGGATTCAGCATGACTACTCTCTGGAGAGGGTAATAGAAGCTTGCAGTGCTGGATGGGAAACTCTCATATGGGACAGATAACGAACCTCCTGCACAGTTACCCCTGGAAGTGATAATGGACATACTCAATGGTGCTGGCACGGGTGACACTTAGAAACTTTGTGACCTGGATAGCCGAGTTGTTAAGGCCCCATCACATTGATCTTGTGAAGTTTATTCCATAAACTGAGAGAATTTTACAACAATGAACATTCGATAGGTCAAAAGATCATGTTTCCTGCTCTACGACATGAGGCTATTATTATTATACAGTATTTATATAGCGCCAAAGGGTATGCTCAGCACTGTACAGTAGCAAGGGGGCAGAACATGAGACAAGACAATAACAAAACAGTACACGAGGGGTTCGAGGGCCCTGCTCTTTCGAGCTTACAATCTAGGAGGGAGGGGAAGGTGATACAGGAGGAGATGGCTGTGGGGGATGGAGTGGTGGGAGGAGTGGAGGAGGTTGTTAGGTGAGGTCAGGTGTTAGGTGAGGTTGGGGTAGGCTTTCCTGAAGAGGAGGGTTTTCAGGGTGCGCCTGAAGGTGAGGAGGGTGGGTGACAGTCTGAAGGATTGGGGTAGGGAGTTCCAGAGGATGGGGGAAGTCCTAGAGAATCCTGCAATTGGGCGTGGGAGGAGGAGACCAGGGAGCTAGAGAGTAGGAGGTCCTGTGAGGAGCGGAGGGCACGGGTAGGGTAGTATTTGGGTATCAGGTCAGTTATGTAGTTTGGGGCGGCATTGTGAATGGCTTTGAAGGTCAGGGTTAGCAGTTTGAATTTGATGCGTGGCGCAATCGGGAGCCAGTGAAGGGATTGGCAGAGGGGGAGGCAGATGTGGAGTGGTTGATGAGGTGGATGAGTCTAGCCGCTGAGTTTAGGATCGACTGAAGTGGGGATAGCGTTCGTTTGGGTAGGTTAGTGAGAAGGGAATTGCAATAGTCCAGGCGTGAGATGATGAGGGAGTGTACAAGTTGTTTGGTGGTGTCTGGGGTGAGGAATGTGCGTATCTTGGAGATGTTGCAGAGGTGGAGCCTCTTTGGCGTGTGGCGTGGGAGAGATGGTGGCGTTGTTAGTAGTGATGGAGAGGATGGGGGGGGGGTGCGGGGTGGGGGGAAGACCAGGAGCTCGGTTTTGGAAAGGTTAAGTTTGAGGAAATGGAGCGACATTCAGTCTGATATGTTGTTTAGGAGGTGGATGATGCAGGCAGAGAGTGAGGGGGTGAGGTGGGGGGTGGAGAGGTAAATTTGGGTGTCGTCGGCATAGAGGTGGTAATTGAAGCTGTGGGAGTGAATAGGTTTGCCAAGGGAAGAGGTATGGATGGAGAAGAGGAGGGGCCCGAGGACAGAGCCTTGGGGGCCCCCGACAGAGAGGGGGAGGGAGGGGGAGGTGGTAGTGTTGTAGGTGACGCTGAAGAAGCATTGGGAAAGGTCGGAGGAGAACCAGGAGAGAGCAGCGTCCCTGATGTCAAGGGAGTGCAGTTTGGCAAGCAGGAGAGGGTGGTCAACAGTGTCGAAGGCCGCAGAGGGGTCGAGGAGCAGGAGGATAGAATAGTGGCCATTGGCTTTGGCGGTTAGCAGGTCGTTGGTGATTTTAAGTAGGGCGGTTTCGGTGGAGTGCAGGGGACGGAAGCCAGACTGTAGGGGGTCAAGGAGGTTGTTATCAGTGAGGTGGGCGCTTAGGCGATTGTAGGCCAGGCGCTCAAGGAGCTTGGAGGTGAAAGGCAGCAGGGAGATGGGTCTAAGGTTGTTAAGGTTAGTGGGGTCGAGGGAGGGTTTTTTGAGTATGGGGGTGATGTGTGCGTGCTTTAGAGGGGAGGGGAAGGTGCCGTGGAGAGGGAGAGATTGAAGATGTAGGTGAGGGAGCGAATGATGGAGGGGGGGTGACAGGAGGAGCTGTGAGGGGATAGGGTCCAGGGGGCAGGTGGTGAGGCGGGCTTCAGTGAAGACCTTAGAGACCTCCTCAAGGGTAGTTGGGCTGAAGGAGCAGAGTGTAGGGGAGGTGATGGTGTGTGGGGGCATTAGGTATAGTGGAAGGTAGTGCGGCTATGAGGTCGGGGGAGGGGAGGGTTGAGGGGTTAGAGGAGGGTGGGAGGCTGGGTGGAGAGGTGGATTGTGAGTTGACAATGTCCTTACGGATTGTGTCAATCTTGTTTTGAAAATGATTGGCAATCTCGTGGGCGGTGATTGAGGTGCTGGGTGGAGTTGTGGGGGGGAGAGAACAGGGATTTGAAAGTGGAGAAGAGCCGGCGAGGACAGGTGGAGAGGGTGTTGATAAGGGTTATGAAATAGGCTTGCTTGGCGGCATGGAGAGAGGTGGTGTAGGTGGCTTTATAGAGGGAGAACGCGTGAGGGGATCTGGTTTTGCGCCAAAAGCGTTCCAGCGCACGACTGCGTCATTTGAGGCATTTCGTGTGGTCGTTTTGCCAGGGTTGAAGCGGTCGGGGTCTAATGCTACATGTGGCTAGGGGTGCCAGGGAGTCAATGGCATCTGACAGTGAGTCGTTGTATGCAGTGGTGGCCAGGTCAGGGCATGACAGAGGGAGGATACTGTCATACAGACGGTCAGCTGCCAGGTGGAGATGGGTCGGGTTCAGATTGCGGAGGTTGCGGGTGATAGACGCTTCGGGGGGGGGGGGAGTTGAGGGAGGGGGAGATGATGGAGAATGTGAGGAGGTGGTTGTCAGAGAGGGGGAAGGGGGTGTTAGTGAAGTCATGGGGGGTGCAGAGATGGGAGAAAACGAGGTCCAGGGTGTTTCCATTGGAGTGGGTGGAGGACTGTGTGTGCTGTGTGAGCGTGAAGGAGGAGGTTAGAAGGAGTTGGGAAGTCGCTGGGCTGTTGGCGTTGATCGGGATATTGAAGTCAGAGATCGGGATATTGAAGGCTAGAGCTGCAATGCATTTCTGGGAAACTTCCCCTTTTTGTATTTCAATGTTTTTATTGATTTATAAACAGTTTAAGACAGGAGCAACAAAACAGGCCCACACAGGGGCTATCAATTGCACATAAAAAAACAAAACAAAACAGTGCTCTAACACCAACAGAGCAAAAGGTGCACCCAAGCAGGGGCTATCAATGGCACATAAATGACAAACAATTAGTATAACAGGGACAGTAACTCAAACTAAGGGCAGCTATCCACTGCCACACCAAAAAAAAAAAAAACAGAAAGAGAAAAGCAAAGAGGAGTACAAAAGGAAAAAGATAACAAGACCAAGAGCAGGAGAACAAGAACGCCAATACCGAGCAACACCACAACCGCAGACTAGCCAGGGGAGATGCGTGGGAAAGGCATGGTGTGCTGTCCCTTTTTAAATATGTGCCCCAATCAAACAATTAAATCATACATGAACATCAAATCCCACAAAGCATATGCATACATAAATAATTAAACATCAGTGCAAACACAAATAAATAGAAATGCATAAATAAATAAGTCCCAAATTCAATCGTTAAAACAGTGCTGAAAAAACGTCATATAAAGTGCTCTTGTGATCCAAAGAGCTCCACAAAAAAAGGCAGGCTGCTTACTGGACTACAATAATCTCAAATTATAGAGATCAAACAGGCATGTGCTTCTAGACTCCAGGCTGGGCACTCTCACTGTCTTGGAGCGGAGTCATGTTCTTACCATATTGCATGTAAAGGATTCCAATAAAGGATTTCATCCATCACATTGCTGTTTGTGTGGCCAACCATTCTGTATTTCCATTGCATCTGTGATCATGGATCAGGCCAGCACCTGCATGTCTGTGGAGGGGTTATGCAGATTTGGAACTCACCTGGAGTGGATCTTTTGCTCTTTCAGTTGGTCTCTATTTTTGGCTGTGCCTGGCCCTTGCGCACATACAACTGTGGGTAGGACAGGACATCCAACACCCACAGCTGATTGGCCCAATACCCAGCAATAACTTTAATCTGGGTTTGAACTGAACCCAAGCTTATCCTTAATACCTAAGATGGCATTTCATGTAAATGCCATGCTAATACACACATTGTTTGTTGCTTTAAGTACAGAGTTTAAAAACTGTTTAAAGAATATCAAGCTTACAGTTAAATTTGGCTTACCATTGCCAACCAACCTTTGAAAATGCACCTGGCAGAGGATGGGTGCAATAACAATGTTTGAAAGCTATGTCAGCAGTTAAAACAGACACGATAATGGACATTCACAGTAAAGCTTACCGTTTTTTCTAGTTAGCCATTCAGAGAGCTAACTAGTTAAGATTGTGCAGAGCCAATTAACTAACCCCCCTGGCGGCATTCCCGAGTGTAGCTCGGGGTTAACTTTCAGTACCAGAAGCGGTACCCCGAGCTACACTCGAGATTACACTGCAACGTTGCTCTGGGATCCCTGTATCACTTACCTTGTCTTGCACTCCTGCGATGTCCCCGGCCATGTCCTCCGGCCGATGCCGGCATCCATCTTCTAGGTTCCGTTCCCTGAGAGCGTCGGGACGTACAGGACAAACTGGGGACGGAACCAGTGGGAAATTCAAAAATGTCAAAATTTTACAAGCACATAATAAACTAAAATCTGATAGTATTACATTACTGTATCAAACCATTTCACATATATGTTGTCCCTAGTGCTTTGTCCTGTGCCCTGCCTGCATTTTTACTGTTCTTTCTGCCTGGAAACTGA